CCTCAACACCCTCGACTCTAAATGAAACATCAGAAGTTTTCTTTCTATTTGAATATCATATAATTAGTTTTATCCAAATTTAATGATCATTTATTAAGTTTAAACCAAGATTTGTATCATTTCCAACAGACGTTCTATGTCTTTACCCAAACAAAAACATGTAGTATCATCTGCAAATAAAACACATTTCAACAACCCTGACACATTAACCAAGTCATTCACATATAAAAGAAGTAACTTTGGTCCAAGTACAGAACCCTGAGGAACTCCACATGTAATATTGTAGAGTTCAGATCTTAAATCATTTATTTGTACAAACTGTTTCCTGTTTTTAGATAAGTAGATACCCACTGTAATGTTGGTCGTCTTATACCATATTTATTTAACTTTTCAAGAAGAATACTGTGATCAGTGGTGTCGAATACTTTCCTTAGATTATGAAATACAAATACTTCTTAAGTACAGTCCTTTTATTTGAATGATTCTGTCCTGCTGGAGTGTGACATGATTTGTTTGTGTACAAACTAATACACTATCAGAGTTTTATATATTTATACTTCTCATTCAACCACAGTTAAATTCACTCTATCTAGGAGGCTCAGTTTATATGGATAGTTTTTATTTTTTACAACAACAAACTGCAATGAAAACAAGCAAAAGTGAAATAAAAGTAACAACTTTCTACTTCTTGTCTTTTTAAAAATGTAAGGAATTGTTAAAATTTCAGTGTTAAAGTTTTGTGTTGATTTAACACCCCTAGTGTTATTTTAACACTTTCTGAGTAAACTGACACCCAGTGTTGATTTCCTCATTGTTGTTTCAACTGTGTTAAATAAGCTCCGCCCACTTGTAGTGTTGATGCAACACTACAAGAGTACCTTGTGGTGTCTGTTAACCTTTCTAACACCATAATTTCCTTTGTTAATAATAATACACTGATGTTACTTTTAACACTGTATTTAACACTGTTGAAATGTAAATGCAACACCCAGTATTGCTGAACATTAAACACTGGCTGGTGTTAAATTAACAAAAAAAAAAGGGTTTTAAAATTTAACACTTTCACAAATGTTATTTTAACACCAGCGAGTGTGGACAAATATAGACACTTTGTTGGTGTTGAAATTAACACTGTGGGTGTTAAATTAACACTGACATTTTTGCTGTGATAGGCTGAAAAACAATTACTCAAGTGCAGATACCCAAAAATTCTACTTAAGTACTGTAACAAAGTATTTGTACTTAGTTACTTTACAACTCTGGCTTTATTATTTTCTGTCTTTTAGGATTTTTAGCATCATTCTTGGATTTATTTCATGTACAGCTGTTTGGATGCAGCCTTTGTTTATAATAAAGTGTTATAAACATAAACACTGGCTCACTTTTAGGAAGTCCTCGAGGAAGTCTCATAGAACCTGAAAGACTTCAGGGAGGTTCAAGGACTTCCAGGTTTGAGCTTCTTCCTGTGACCTTTCAGTGACATCATCACTGTGTGTTGAGCACAGGTAGAGTCAGAAAACTGAACCCAGGAAATTAACACACACTCTTCATTTCCTGCTGTCTGAACGGCTCCAGCTCCTCAAACTGAGTTCACATCACAGGGACTCCTTGGGTTCTGGACCTGTGGATCTGTTCCTGTGTTTTCAGGTCAGCAGTCTTGGTTCTGTCTGGTCCGGCCCGATACACTGGACTGATTTGTGTCACATGACTTCAGCTCATTGGGAGGAGACAGTGCCTGTCCTCTGTCTGTCCTTGTCTGTCCCTGTTTGTGTGTGTCCTCTCCGTCCTTCACACACATTTATTCTGAGACGCTAAAGAAATAAAAACAACTGGGCATAAAACAATCAACGTGAGGCCTTCAGGGACATCAGGAAATTCCAGGATTCATTAACCTCTAAATGTTCTGACAGCCGGCTGCAGCTCCTGCTTCAGTTCAGGTGGAAACATTTTCAACGTAACACCAGCTGTTCTTCTCACAGCATGTTTGTCGGAGCTCCCAGGGCGAGGGCGGAGCCTAATGTCCCAGCCAATCGGACTGGAGGAGTGTACCGTTGTCCAGTCACTTCTGACCAATCAGACTGCACGAGGATGATAGTGGTATATCCAGGTGAGTCACACTTTGTCTAACAGTTACTGCAGCGGGACGTCTAAAGCTGTGGACCAATCCCAGCTGTCAGCACGGGGGCGGGGGGCTGATGGTTTGGGCTCCTCGCAGTCAGTGGCTGTGTCCAAATTCAGGGGCCAGTCAGCTCGTAATGCATTATGTGATATGGTGGGCCTAGAAGGAAGCCCCGCCCACTTTTACCAATCATTACCATATTGTGCAAACTCACTCAGTTTGTGGTCATTAGTAAGTGTAATGAATTTCATGTCAATTGGCATTACCGTTTATAAAATATAAACATGATGCATTTCTGGCACCCCCTAGAGTTTGGTTAATATGAAATTTTAGATACATGCTCAGAAATATTCATTGAATATATGTTATGAGATTAATTTGGATATGTTTTAACATACATAAAAGACTGTCATTTTTGTTAATGCTAACAAGCTAGCTGTGTCTAAAAATAAACATAATTCGGTCATACAAAAACCAAACAACTTTTCCGGAACACCGTTTGTAAAGCTTTTACTCTAGGTGCTACATGAGAAGGTACATACTTATTGGCATTGTCCCTTTGGAGGAGATGATTTTTAAGTGTTTAGCATATTATGTCAATTTGCATAAACAACAATACATTTTTAAACAAACATATATTTAATCAAAAATACTGTAGAAATTAACAATTAAGTAATTTTAATGATTGGGCTAAGTATACAGGAGTTAAAGATCAAAATGTTTCACACATCACACTAGCGCCACCTATTGGTGGACTCGTGCAGTTTTTAGTATTATATAGAAGATAGTGTGCTTTATTTTTGCTGTGAAAAACTTCTCAAAATCTCTGATGGTTTAGGCTCCATTAATGATTTTATGAAATTTTTCATTTACGAAAGTATAGGCCACGCCCACTTTATTTGGGCATAATGATCTTTCTCATTTAGGTTCAAATCAAGGGTCTGTAGGTCCGTGCAAAGTTTCAAGAATATCCAATAAGCCATTTTTGCGTGAAAATTGTTTGTGGTTTGTACCACCCTCTACGCCTCAATGAGTGTAAAATGTTGTCTAACAACTTAGACAGCCTTCTGTGCGGCGCTGTGACGTAAGTGGCCGACAAAATCGGCCTTCGGAGGACCCGGCCTCTGAATTTGGACACAGCCATTGAGTCCACTGTGGGTGGAGCCAGTCTCAACAAGGGGCGGAGTCTTATCAGTCTTTACCTGTGAGGGGTCCTGTTTCAGAAATGAACCCGACTGAGGACCTGGTGGAAGACATGTGGCTGGGCGTCTCAGTGTTCAGTCAGGGTCGACCCGGTGGAAAGGTTCTGGTGAGTCTGTCTCCTGATTGGCTGATAGAGTTTTTGTGTTTGACTGCTTGGATTAGTTAATTTACTGAATTTCCTTCAACGACCCAACTAATTAACAGCTAACTAACCAATGAGCTAAATTGATTATGTAACTTCTCAAACAGCTGACTAAGAAAAACTCTAATGAACTGATTTAATAACTAGCCATTAGCATGAAAGTTTAACTTCTACAATGACAAACTGATGAACTTACCAACATTTTAACTAAGAGGTTAATCCTGTTCTGTGTCTTGGCAGGCCTGTGGTCATCGGTTCATTAAACTGTCCGGAGTGTTCAGGTACCAGCGGATGATTGGTCAGTGTTATCTCAGAGGAAACGGCGACGACAACGACGACTTGAACTGGCAGAAAACAGAGCAGGCCTGCCAGTAGGTCAACTGATCCAAAGTTCAGATGAATTCTGAGTGCAAACATTTGGTTAAAACTAGGGGTGCATCAATAAATCGACCGGCCGATAGATTGGCCTATACGTAGATAAGATCGATGGAAAAGAATGGCTTCTCATCTATACCTCAACAAAGGTCTGAAGATCAGCCTTTTGCTCTGCTGTGAGCTCTAACTAATGTCCAGTTAAAACAACTTTATATTGGTTCAAGGGTATTGTTCAGTGTTTTCCAATAAAAAAAGATTGGAACATTGAAGGTGGATTGTGACCTTTTAACACCCGACAGCATCAGCTATTTAAAAAATCAAAATCGACCAAAATCAGACTTTCTAAAGATCTGTGATCGGCCAGAAACCTGCAATCGGTGCTCCCCTAGTTAAAACCCATCCTGATCTGCTGCTCCTGTCTGTGTTCAGCCACAAGGACAATGAAGTTGTTGAGGGCATGTGCAATATGGGAATCTCCGCCTTCATGAGCGAGACTGAAATCATCGTCGGCTCACCTGGAAGCTTCGAATGGCAAGGTGACGGTTCTGTTGCCTCAGGGTGGTTCCGGTACCTCAGGGTGGTTCCGGTACACTGTGGTTTGCAGATGCAGTTTTTTTCATTTGTTCCATCCAGAACTGAATCAGGATGTACAGTAGTTTCTTGTGTTTGTTTATTACAGGAAACGTGCACGTCCTCAAGGAGAACTCGTACATCGAGTCGTACTCGAAGCAGAGCCAGTTCAGCTCACTGCAGCGGAGGAACATTTATATAGGTGAACTGTCCCTTAATGGAACAACTCATCAAACAGACTGAATCTAAAGAATACCAGCTTAAAACTGACCCTGTGTTTGTCCAGGATACTCCGTGACTCAGGCTCGTCGTCTACTGTCTGCGGTTGATGACACCATAGTAACAGGTGAAGCTTTATGTTTTTTTTATCCAACCACGATCTGATCATCGATCTTGGGTCATAAGATCAGCTCTGTTGTTGGACAGGAGCTCCCCGGGACAGTAAAGACGACGCTCGTGGCTCTGTTCTGTTGGCCGTCCAACAGTCCAAGGATCTGGTGATCAAGCAGACTCTGCGGGGTCAGCAGGTGGGCTCGTACTTTGGTAACGCGGTGGTAACCCTCGATCTGGACAATGACGGGTGAGGAAGAGACGTTTGGAGGAAATAAAATGAAGAGTTCACATTCTTCAACAGATTTGTTTTTTGTGTCCTGCAGCTGGAATGACCTGCTGGTGAGCGCTCCGTTTTACTTCAGCCACCAGCCAGAGGCAGGGGGTGCAGTCTACGTCTTTATGAACGCTGGAGGGAAGCTGGACTCTGAACCCAGCATGGTTCTGACGGGCCCTGCTGGTTCTGCTTTTGGAATGGCAGTGACCGCTGCCGGAGACCTCAACCAGGATGGGTTCCAGGGTGAGAGGACCTCGTCGTAACTCTGGACTCATTCTTTGTCATCGATCATCAATAATCAGTCAGTGTGTTGTGGTGGTTCAGACTTTGCAGTGGGAGCTCCTTTCCATGACACAGGAAGTGTGATGATCTGGACCGGGAGCAGCAAGGGGGTCTCTACAGAACCGAGCCAGGTATCACTAATTTATTTATCAATTTATCTGAGAGGTACTGTACGATGCATCAAAGGTCCAACAACCTGAGTCCAACTTCAGTTTAGAACTTCCTGGATTTAGAACTGAAGTTTCTCTCACACCCAGACCTGAATGTGGGAGGTCTGACCTGTTACTCCTCCCCCCTACAGGTGATCTGGGGCAGCAGTGTGTTTCCTGGATTCAGGACCTTTGGCTACTCTCTGTCTGCTGGTCTGGATGTTGATGGGAACAAATATCCAGACCTGCTGGTTGGATCTCTGGATGACACTGTTGCTCTCCTCAGGTACTGGTTCAGTTTCAGTAGGTCTCCACTCATCTGGTTCGATTGATTGATTGATTGATTGATTGATTGATTGATTGATTGATTGATTAATCCATCTTCAGATCCCGTCCAGTCGTTCATCTGAACAAGACTCTCAGGGTTTCTCCAGGTATCGTTGACCCAAACAGCTGTGACTTCTGGTGAGGTTCAGAGAACACTCAGGTAGCTCAGGTGTGTTGTTCCAGTGCTGACAGTGGGTCTCTCAGTATCCAGGTGCAGGTGTGTTTCTCCTACATGTTCAGCGTTGGAAAGAAGAGCAAAAATGACAACATCAGTGAGTCAGCTCTGTTCTTTTCTGTTTTTGATTTCTTCCAGTCTGAACTTATTAAACATGATTAATGTTTTCAGTATTTGGTCGAAGCAGTGAAACCTTTTGTATCAGAGATTTCAGAGATTTGGTGGTTTAAATTGACTGGTTTACCCTCTGTGTGTGTGTGTGTGTGTGTGTGTGTGTGTGTGTGTGTGTGTGTGTGTGTGTGTGTGTGTGTGTGTGTGTTCAGAACTGTGTGGTCACTCCTTCAGTTCGTCCTGCAGCTGCTGACCAATGTTAACGAGCTATAGTAATTAGTAAAATTTGCTTTGTGTGTGTGTGTGTGTGTGTGTGTGTGTGTGTGTGTGTGTGTGTGTG